CAGCTTGTCGGCCACCGAGCTGCGGCTCGTCGTGCTCTGCCCGTACTTGACGCACACCGAGCCGCCCAGAGGGTCCCCCGTCACCAGCGCCCCGGCCGCGCTGTCCCTCAGCAGCACCTCGGAGTCGGCCGTCTCGTAGCAGCTCAGGGGAGACGGCGGCGCTGGCCGCGGCTCGCGCGGCTGAGGCTGGTGGGCGGCCAGGTCGAGCCCCGGGGGCGAGCGAAAGGCAGACTCCATCCTCTTGGCCGAGGCACTGAGACTCTTGTGGAACAAGTCCTCGTCTGAAGGCAAGCTCAGAGCCCTCTCCATGGTCCCAGCCGGCGGGCTCTCCTCCTCCAACTCCACCTGCCGCCCTCCTCCGCCTCCTCCCTCAACGCCCTCCCCTCCTCGGCTCCTCCACCGCGCCGGGACGAGGGTTTGACTCGGACAGAAAAATGAGGAGTTGAGATTTTTTAGTAATTTATTCCTGGAAGTTATACCAATGCGTAGATTGTTATAATTCTTGCACCGCCGCTCGTCGCCCGGCTCCGTCTTCTTCCAACTCTCTCTCTCTCTCTCTCGGTTCCTCGGTCTCCCTCCCTCGCGCTCTCTCTGAGGCGAGGCTGTGCGGCCGGCCTCTTTGGCGCGCGTTCTTTTCTCTCCTTCGGCGAGCGCCTCCTCATCGCGCGCGTCGTCTCGCTCGCTCGCTCGCTCGTTCGCAGCGCCCTCGCTCCTCTCAGCCTGTGAAGGGCTCAGGCATTGTGAGCTGCCAGCAAGCCTCTCGCACCGTTTATCTTGCTTGGATTCACCTTCAAGAGATTTCCGGGACCCATCAAGGGGTGGGTGGAGGGAGGGGGAGAGAAAGAGAGACAGAGACGGAGACAGAGAGAGAGAGGCGAGGGAGCAGGGCCGTCGCTCGCTGCTGCTGCTGCTGCTGCCGCCGCCGCCGCCGCCGCCGCCACTACCGCCCGCCCGTCCTCGCTGCCGCCACCACAGACGGGGGAGGCTTTTACCTCATTATCTCGCCGAGAAGGTTATTATGAAGAAGCCTCGCCTGTTGGGACAGAGCTTTCTACCCAATCAGGTTAACGTTTTAATTAATAGGATTAAAACGGTAACAAACGAGCCCAGGCGCGAGGCTTGGCCCTGCGTCTGAAGAGTTTTCCCTTTCACGCAGGTCTGGAGGAGAAGACAGGCAGCAGCTCGCGCTTTATAAAAGGCGCCTGCTCCATTATTCTCCCCGCCATCTGTAGGCACAGCTTAACGCATATGTTTGCAAGGCGGCGGTGTCCCTATTAGGAACCCAACAACTGCCTTTAAAAGCTTGACATGTGTGGCGACTTTCACTCCTCAATGAGCACACTTTAAAAAGCCGACTCCGGTCGAAGAGGGCTCTTCGCCTCCCTCAGCAAACTGCGGAGCGGCGATGTCCGGGGGGGGCTGGGGGCTGGGGGGAGAGAGGGAGGCGGCGCTGGCTGGGTGGGCTCGTTTGCTGCACACGTCGCTCCCCCACCCCAGCCCAACCCCCGGGTTGACAACGGACTTCGACCAACTTGGCGCCAACGCTAAGAGGACGCGCCCCTCCACGCCTGCCCTTGTTTACCGCCAACACCGCCGCCCTGCAGGAGAGGGAGAGCCACTTGCTTGTTCCCTGGCCATCGAACTTCACGTTGGACTCCGCTCGCTCGTCTCCCTGCCGCTCTTCTCGCTCACGCGCGCTCCCTCCTTCTCTCTTTCTTTATGCAAAGTGCTTTCGCTTCCGCTGTTGTTTCGCCCACTCTCCTTAATTTTTCTCGTTCTTTTACTGCTTTACCGTAATAGGCACCTGTGATGCCTACGGTTAGGTTTCAATTCATTTGCTGGCGCTAATAAGTGAACGTCCTCAAAGTCCAACTCTCAAACCACTTTTTAACCAGCACGGGACTTGGACGCAAATCCAATTCAGCCTCTGGTAAAACCAGAGAAATCAGGCCCAAGTACATTTAAGGTTGCAGGGCCATTTCACTTTCAAAAGCTGCGCATATCGCTTGTTGTTGCTGTTTTCCTTTGAGCAGTCCTTTCCCAAGGGCGGACTTCCTTGATATTAGAACAGATACCCTGCAAGTGAGGTCATGCTCACGGACTGTTTCTGCAATTATGCATTGATCTTATTCCAGATCCGTATTTTATTCCTATTCTTACCCTCAGACCTTTTGCCACTTTTGGCTAGCCAGCTGTGTAACAATGAAGGCTAGGGATCAGAAATCTTCTTAAAATTGTGCACGTGTGATTGCTATCCAAAAGAAACGAAGCGGTGATTATTATTATTATTATTATTATTATTATTATTATTATTATTATTATTATTATTATTATTATTATTATTATTATTATTATTATTATTATTA